GCACATCGCTTCGGCTCGGATCGGATCGGATCGGCATGGATCGGATCGGTACGAGTAGCATTGAACTTGCTGGGAGACGATCGCAACCACGACGACTGACTGGCCAGGGGCTTATCAAGGTGGGCCAGGTTTCAGCGAAACTTCGTTAAAATATACAGAAACAGCAGCGGCTGTCTGATGACCGCCAACAAAGGAAAAAATAAAGAAAAACAAAAGGCATTGGCCAAAGAGGAATAATAGGGAATGCACATACAGTGGCCACTGGTTTGGAAGAACCAAATGCTTCAAATGCATTCCTAATAACCAACTAAAAATTAAACGAATTTAAAAGATCACAAAACTGATTGATTTTTAAAATCCTAATTAAATTTGATCTCTTACTTAAATTTTAACCAAAAATATGATTTATTTCCTGAAAATTTCCAAGTTCCCTTAAATATCTAATATATCCTTCAACCAGTGTCCCACTGTACCCACAGGCAGCCGAAAAAGTGGAGGAACATGAGCACGGGAGCGCACGAAGCACACAAAAAAAGGAAAGAACGAGGAGCGTGTGTGCATGAGAAATGCAAAGACAGAGGGCAAGGTAGGGTAAGGTAAGCTATGGAAAGGTTGAACGAGGAGATAAGGGGAGGCGGAGGAGCCAGGAGAATCGAGTCAGGAGCGACAACCGGTCAGACGGGTCGCCTTATAGGGGCCCATATACAGGAGGGAGGATCGGATTGGATCGGATCGTTTCTGAGCGAGGTCTAACTCTGTGTTCTCCGGAGAAGAACTGCTTAAAATAAATATACATGCAGCACATTTAGATGCACGCGGTGCGGCGGTTTGCAATTACCATTTGCATTTCACGGAGTTATCAACACGACACACCGGAACAGAGCACACGGAAACACGTACGGGTGGAACAAATTAAAATGCACACAGGTTAAAATCGTTACAAATTCGGAGGTGGCGGTGGTGGTTGGATTGGGGAGCGACACGATCGACCGACAACCGACCGGAATGAGGCGCGAAAAATGACTGAGAGCCGAACTCAGAATTTTCAAAACTGGCGGCTGAAAAGCTAACACGGAAAGCTCACTCTTCCAGCTCTCAGCTCTCTCTTGTGGCATCTCTTGTATCTTTTTTGATCTAGCCAAGCTTTTGTTGATCTTTTTAAGCTGTTTAAATAAATGCGCGGTTATTTTTATGATCAGCGGAAATAACACCTTTGATTTTATGGCCTTAACAAAAATAGGTTTTTGATAAACCAAATCTATAAAAGTATTATACATATTTTTAGATATATGTTTCCTTTCTTTCGAAGAGTTTTTCCTTCATTTTGACATTGAAAAGACATCAAAATCTAATAGAATCACTTGTAGAATTTTAAAGTATAGTATATATAATGTGTTTAAGAATTATCCAACTTCAGATCAATGAGAAAGCTCTCTCAAAAGCTAGCCTCCGCTTTCCTCTCTTCAAGCTTACTCTTGACTATATTATTTAGATATTTAAACTTTTCCAGAGCCACACATCTGTTTAAATAGTTGCGCCATATATTTTCCAATCAGCAAAAAATAAAAACAGCGCTCTAAATACTATTGCACTTAAAAATAAAACTCGGCTCGTGCGCTTCCTAATCATCGGAATCCAATTCCTCGATCAGTGGGAGCGCGCAATGTCCGAGAAGAAGGCTAGTATGTCCTGTATGTTGAACTCCAGGTTGATCATGGCGCCGGCGTAGCACTTCTGGATGCGCTCCTCCAGGTAGTTGTACTGGGCAATGAACTCCTCCTGCATGGCGTGCCACACCACCTGCAGCAGATTCTCCTCCTCGCTCAGGTGCTTCTCCACCTTCTTGTAGAGGTTCTCCAGGCCCTTTTTCACCTCGCGTGCCGGATACTGGGCGATCACTTTGCGCAGCTCCTGCTTGGAGAAGGCCATTTGGTAGCTGATCTCCGTCTCCTTGACGCCCTGCGCCACCTTCTGCTGCACGCCCTCGAAGAATAGCTAAGAGAGAGGAAAAACTCTGTATAGGGAACATTCCTCTTGTGACAAATTTAGCTTACATTCAGTTTTTCCAGCGGCCGTCCAAAGTACTGAGTCACATATGCTTTTAGCGCCTCATTATATCGCGACTTGGCGTCCTTTTTCAAGGCATCCAGTCCAGGCACCTTGAGCTGAGCCAGCAGGGCATACATATGATGGTAGTTCTCCATGCGCACCACCTGCGACGGTGTCTTGGGATGTTCCTGCGAGTGCAGGTGAATGCCCTCAAAGATCGCGTTCACCAGCTGCAGATACCACTTTTCCATGTCCGTGCGGCGGTCGGACTTGCGGAAGATACCCTCCGCCGTTTGGGCAAAGTTTTCAAAGTTCTCCACGTACGGCAGGATGGCCTTGGAGCGTTTGTGCAGCTTTGCCTCGCGGATAGACTGCAGCTGCTGCTGCATAAAGCGATCGAAGTTGCGCTTCACCTGCACCAGGGCCGAGGCGAAGGTCATGCTGAGAAAGGAATGTGTGTCCTGGGCGGACATTACGTGCTGGGTGAGGCGGACGAGAACGTACAGGGAGTAGCTAAAAAAAAGCAGAAATCAATAGTTTTATAGTCAAATTAAGAGATTAAATACTAGTAGATACTCACAAGCTATCCACCCGCTCAAAGCTCTGGATGAAGCTAACCAACTCGGGCTCCAGACAGCCAAAGAGACCCATCATCAGTTTGCGAACATCCTCATTGATCTGCCTGTCGATCCGCTTCTGTGGCACACCTTCCGCCGAGGGCGAGATAGCTGTCCCCAAGACAGCGGACTGAGACATGTCCACCGCCTTCTCCATCTCCAGCGTGGTCTGGGTGTTCTTCGTCGTTGGACTAATCACGTCCATCTGGAAGAAGTTGATGCAGAACAGCTGCTCCTGCAGGGCAATAGGTTCCAGCTCGGCAAGAACCTTTTCCAGCAGAGCGTCGAATCGGATGCGATCCGCACTTTCCACACCAGGTCCCCACTGATCCCGATTAATGCCCAAGGTGCCATAGGGAATGGTGGAAACGGCAGACTTTCGAGATGAAGTGGACATGTCCAGATCCTCGCGAGAACTTCTCAGCTTTTCAGAGACCTGCATTTTAGCCTAAGCCGGGAAAACATAAAGCTAAGTAAATTTATTTAAACTTTCATTAAATTCTTACCAAGTTAAAGAAATTCCTCACATCCCTGTCATAGATTTTGCTCAGCGAGGCCGTGTACACCCGCATCAGGCCATCATAGGTCTTCCGGTCCATAGCCTTTGTCCAGTGCATCAGCTCTGTGTAGGGAGTCAGCTCCCGATGAACATTGGAATGGTTGGGCAGCGTTAGGTCTGTGCTGGTCACCGGCATATCGCCGATCTCGTTGCCCAGGTGGATGAAGAGGTTATTCATAAACCGACTGACGGTGGCCGAGAACTTTTGTTTCCACTTCTCGAAGCGCTTACGCTGATCCTGCACTGCCTCGAGGCGAAGCAGGGCAGGATCTATGTCGCTGTTCATGGCCTGCTGCAGGCACTGAGCAGCAGCTATGGCCGCCTTGCGTCCATTTGCTGTTTTCAGATCGGGCTCATCCAGCGCCTGTTGCTGGCTGTGCGGCAAGTCCAGTTGGCTCTGCGGGATAAAGAAGCGATTAATCACTAATTACAGAAGATTCCTGAAGAAAACCCACTATGACTTTGTTGAGTTCCTTCATCAGCTTGATATTGTTATTGTTGGCAATCTCAATCATGGCATTCTTGCCTCCAATCTTCTCCATGGTCTCCTTGACATGCCCCAGTATATCCTCGTAGCTGTCCAGTCGCGTCTCGAACTTATCCGCCTCGGAGATGGCATTGTCGATGTGCTCCATCATCTTCAGGACCTTCTGCTCCGAGGCCAGCACACTTTGGATATTGGCCTAAGGGATTTGAGAGGAATAAGAATGACTCGTAGATTGTGGGTGGAAAACCATTGTCTAAGTACCCCATCTAGATCGTGGAGCTCCCGGGACAGCTGCTCGATGAACTGCTCTGCATCCTTGATGGCAAAATCGCACTCAGAGAACAGTTTGCCCAACTCGTTGGCCTCCTTGTCGGTGAGGGCGGTGAACTCTTGGGCCTCCTCTTCCTCATCCTCCTCGTCATCATCAATGTGCTCCGCCTTCTGCGCCGCTCTGCCCAGAGCCACCTTTTCCGGTGACTTCTCCGACAGCCAGGCGGCAGGCACGTTCCGGAACTCCGCCCGCTGGCCACGCACACTCTTTTGGATCTGGCGATTCAATACGGCCAGGAAGTTCTGCCGCTCGTGCAGATTGAGGGCGTACCACTTGTACAGCTTCTCCAGCTGCAGGTCAAACTCGTGCGTCTCAAACTGCTCATTCCGCCCGTCCACCGACTTGATCTCGTCCAGCTGCCAGCTCCGCTTGCGCTTGTACTCGCTCTCGCGCTGCTCCGACTGCTTAACCAGGACCAACGTAACCACGGGCACTGGTGGCGCCGTAGTGACCACGCACAGATAGCAGGGCTTCTTATCCTTCTTTTTGACCACCGTCACCACGGAAAGGAGGCGTTCGCCGGCGGCCAGGAAGAGCTCCTTCTGCAGCGTGTGCTTGATGTTGGCCAGGGCGCCGATGGACAGCATGGCGGGGGAATGTCTTTCGAGGCACTGGGCGCTTGAAAAGTTCTACAAACAACCAACTAATTCTATTTTTTTTTCCAATTGTTTGCAACTTGCGAATTGTGAACGCCTCCGCAACAGCTGACTCAATAGAGGTGGTAGCGTGAGTAGTGATGGAAAACAACTACAAATCATAAATATAGGGTATTCTATAGGACTAAAATATCGAACGAAAATATTGGAACTGTTTTGAGTTAATTAATTTTGTTATACATGAATTTGTTTAAAATTAATCTTTGTATAATTTATGATTAGAAATAAAATTTACCGTGAGTGAAAATGCAGAAGGGTTCTCGTGAGCACATCTCTAGTTTTCGGGTTTGGTATTCAGTCATTACTGTTGTTCGGTCACACTGTTCGATACACAAGTAATCTTTGGGTGAGTTTTACGCGAAAAAATATTTGCCGTGAAAATAAACCATAATTTATCAATTTTCAGCAACTTTCGAGCAATCATGTTGGTTAAGCACATTGTCAAGCAGGGGCTTCTGTTCAAGAATGGTAAGTTTAAGCCCTGGATTAGCCTTTTTCGCTGCAACTGCTAACCTTAAAAATTACATAATGTGTGGAGCAACGGGAGGGACATCAAGGAACTGCGGAGAAGCGCTTCCCACAAAAATCACTTCAATTAACTAAAAATATTCCTTACTAAGTGGTTTTCGATGCTAAAATCTACTTAAAATCAGTTAAAGTGCTAATTGGAATAGTGCCTATCCTTTAATATTGAATCACAATCAACGCTTTACTAATTAATGCATATTTCCCTTTCCAGTTGGCGCCATGTCGCGTGCCGCTTACCACGGCGGTGGACACCACCAGCACTCCACCATGAACGATCTGCCCGTGCCCGCCGGTGACTGGAAGGAGCAGCACAGCCAGCAGAACTCCAAGTACAATGCCGTGCTCATCACCGGCATCCTGGTCCTGGCCGGCACCATTGGATTCGTGAGTGCCCACCCAGACGCACCCTTTAAAGCGCATTTACTTATTCCTTATTTTGATTGCAGGTGAAATCCTCCGGTCTGATCCACTTCAACTACAATGCCCCCAGGGACCTAGACTAAGCCAGTCACCCCGTAAATGTATATTAATCCGAAATTTGTGTTAAATAAGCTTAAAGTGGCGACATAGTAAATCACAGATCCAAAAGTATTCAGTTCCGGAAATGTTGTTTGTATATTTGGCTCAGTACACGGGACCATCGTCCAAGTTGTCGTCCTCGTCGTTGTATGATTCTCCATTGTCGAAGTAACTGTTGCCGTAATCGTTCTCCTCGTCCATCTCGTCGTCCAGCGCCGCCTCCGGATCGTCCTGCTCCTCCTCTTGGTCGGAGTCTGATTCCTGCTTAATTTCGTCCTGCTCTCCGCTGCCAGCTTTTAGTTCCTTCTGCTCCAGGACCTTCAGTCTGTCCTCGATGTTGGTCTTCTTGGCCAACAGCTTTGGCTTGACATCCGCACCCTTTCGCTTGCGATTTAAGGTATTCAGCTCCCGCGGCATGGCTTTGTAGTTAAACTCGGGCTGAGCCTTTAGTTTGAAGCGGTCCATTGCTTTCTGTGGGTCAGAATTAACTTGATTGGTAAGGATTACTGATATAATAATACAAATTACCTCTCGCCAGTCCCTGTGTTCCTTATTTTGCGGCTCCTGGGTGGCGGATACAATGTAATAGGGGGAGTCGCGCATACGGTTCAGGAAATCCTCCTTCCACAGCAGCTGGTAGTTTTGTGTGGCTGTTGTCTGGTTGAGAGGTGGGTCAGGTAAATAGCTCCAATACATGTATTTAATATAGATTTAAACCAACCTCCAAGGTAGTGGGCCTGTTCAGAACCGGCGGAAATGTAGGAGGCGGTGCCGTCTGCACGGGCATGTCCTTCGTGCAGCCCAGCAAGGCCATTTGCTCGGCTGTGAGGGTGCCTGTCTTCCCGCCCCTTCCACGTCCAGCCATTTTTAAGATTTATATTTCTAACTTGGATAAAAATAGTGGATATCTGTGTGGCGTCCGCACGTTTATTTAACTTGAAATGCGATCAGCTGTTGCACGGCGTTGCCATCTTGTCAAAACCAAACAATAACAGAGAAAGAGAAAATAAGTTATCGACTATTTGGTACCCTCTCTTTTAAAATAAAATTAAAATTGATTAAGTAAATCACCTAAAATGGTTTTTTACACATAACATATATATATTTTATTTCGATTTGCACGTTTTTTGCTTAAACTAAGAACAGTAAATACACACTTATATAAGAGAGCTCTCAAAACTTGGCTTTGGGCAAGCAGCGAATTTCAGCCAATTTCAATTCCTAATTACTATTTGCTATTTCAAATATTTAGCGAGCAGCGCTTTTTAAGATTCTAAAGTCATATTGTGGGAGTTGTGATCAATTGACAGTGGGATTGGTGGACGGGGCCGGTGACTCCTCGTCGGTTGGCGCCAGACCCACTTTCTGCATGAGTTCCGTAAGTTTCTGAGCCTTGCGATCCTCGTTGTGGGCAATGACAGTGCACAGGTGTTCGGTGAGCAGCTCCTTCTTCTCAGAGGCGTTGTGCAGTTCAATTTTGGCCTTCAGGAACTGAGCCTCGATCTTCACGTATTGTTTTCTAAAAAGAAAATGAGAAATTAGGAATTTTGGCTGATCAAAAACAAGATATTAGGTATACCCACTCTACATTGGAGAAATGTATGCAGGCGTTGTCGATCTGCTTCCTTAGCAGGGCCACATCCACGGCAAGATCGCTCTCCAGTTTGGACAGCTCGTGGCGGATCTCTTCGATCTTGCGGGACTCCGCCGCTGTTTTCTGCGTGTGCTGCTCTATGGCCTGATAGAGCATCTGCTTCTTCTGCTTGTTTTGCTCTTCGATCATGCGGCGATGCTGCTCAAAGTCCTTCAGGGAGACGCCCTTGAAGGGCGAGTCTGTGTTAAGCCGTTCACGCGAAGAGTCCTTGGTGCTGGGCAGGATACTGCCATCATCCACCGAGCTAATTGCCTGGCTGTTGCTCCCGCTCATTTTCAGAATCGAGCTATCGTCTGTGGACGTCGTCTCGCTATTCTCTCCGCCAGCATCCGCATACGTGGCAGCTGCTTTATCTCTCGCTGGAGCGTGACCATGGTATAGAGCGGCCATCAGAGAGTCGGAGAGAGGTCGATCCAGGTCTAGAGACAACCGATCGGCTGCATCTGCGTCATCTTCGACCGTGGGAGTTGGCGTCTTTTCCGTGGGAGTTGCCGCTCTCGATTTGGCTTTCTTAGCATCGTCCACTTTCTGGGTCTTCTTCGGCTGCGGTTGTTGTTGCTGCTGCTGCTTCCGCAACTGATCTGCCTGCCGGAAGATCTTATCGGGCATGCGCCGTATGCCGGGCTGATTCCGGACCGCCTGTTTTGCTGTGATGATAGACACACAAACACACACATGCAAATGGGGTTTTAGTTATAAACAGATTATTGTTTACAGGCTCCGTTGGCTCATTCATTTGCCATCTAACCTGCTTCCAGACCCGTCGCCCTTTTGCCACTGCCGCTCTCCTTGACCCCCGTTATCTTGAGGATCTCGTCGTGGCTAAATCCATTGAATCTATCAGTCATTTTATTGATTAAACAGATAATTAAGCCATTAAACAGGCCCACAAACACAACACATCAGCAAAAGCAAACAGTGCGTCGGGTTGCCAGATCGATATAATTAAAGACACGATCGTTTTCGAAAATGAGACGTTCTCACTAAGTTGCTTGCAAGCATTTTCCACTTTTTTATTTGAGTTTAAATAACCCCTTAAAAATACAAGTCAATGAAATAAATTACTCATTCGTCCCATTATTACAGTCACAGAAGGATCTTTTAATGCAACACAAATATATCAAAATGGTTCCGTGAAGTTTCAATAAAATCAATTTAATATTCTGTATATTGCCTGTTATCGAATAAATGACTGAATTACTAAAAATATCGGCCAAGGAAATACCCAGATTTACCAAACTTAAGAGACCTAGTATACATAATTCCGTAATCAATTGACCGTAATAAAACTACCAAGATTCTAAATATATCGTCCATATATTTAGTCGTATAGGAAACGACTTAAAAGGATCGGAATTTTCAAAAAAAAAAAACCTATTCGGAAACCATGGATATACCTTTGGTATTCCTCTTCCCTTTAATATTTACTTCTCTTAAACCAACCTCGGGGTCGTTAAATGACAGCTATATTATGTATTCCTTTGATTTTCATACATATTAAACCAAAATTCTTAAAATTTAGATATCTCAAAGATAAAATACATTAAAAAATATAAAAGTTATAAGTTTATTCTACTAATTTTCCCGTTGTTTCTGTGTTTGAAGGTAAACGTTATAGTCTTCCGATCTGGCCTGATATAAATTTATAGTACATGCAAAATAACAAAATCGATCTGCAGTTTTCATTCAGATTGCTAAAAAACAGACTGCTGATCAAGAATAAACCTACTTTATAGGGTCGCAAATTTGTCATAAATGTAATACCCTGCAGAGGTAAAAAAAATATAAATATATATATTTATATATATATTTCCAGCTGCCAATACTTGTAAACATTCAACCGTATTGAAAACACTTGAGTAAATTTAATTAAATTTAATTGTTTTGCAATGGGTGGCATATCGAAATACTCTCCGATTTCTTACTTTGCTGCGATCACATTAATCGATATCTTTCATCGAAAAGCCGCCAACTCAAAAATTAGCTTAAAATTTAAACAAATCATCAGGCTTTATTCAACACAGTAATGCCCAGCTCAGATCGAAGTTCGTGGATATTCTGCTCCCAACGCTTCTCCCAGTAGACGGGCATCAAGGGCTTGGTCCGCTTGCCGTTCTCCAGAGCCCAGGGCAAGTAGTGTTTCAAGTAAGCGCGGCGCTGCCTTCGCACCAGAAAGTAAACAAGCGCGTGAATTATAATAATAGTGTAATTGGGTCCAAGTTCAGTGAACTCACTTGGGACGTAGGCGGACCGCCCCGAACACCGCGCCGCCGTAACACATCGGTAGGCCCGTATTAAGAGCCTCCACCCACTTGACCGCCACCTCGCCGAGCATGTTTGTGGGCATGTCCAGCACCGTGTGGATTAGGTCGTGGCACTCGCGGTAGCGCGTCATCAAATAGGCCAGCTTGGGATCCTCCAGAAACCTCACGGCCATGCGACTGTCCGGCGTGACTTGCTGAAATTGGGTTAAAAAAGCTTAAGCCGTTCATTACAGACCAACTCGGCCCGTTGCTACTTACATTGTCTTTAAGGAACTTGACATAGACAGCTCCGAAGGTGTCGGGCGGCAGGGTTTCCAGACGCTTGAAGTCAATGGTGCTGGTGTGGATCCGTGGCTTGTCGGCCATGATGCGCTGACCCTCCTCACTAGCCTGCATGGTGTCCAAAATATTCAAAAGAGCTGCCTCGCCTGTGGTCTCGCCCAAACAAGCAATCATGTCGTGGCTAAAAGGGATCAATATTATTACAAATTTATTAATAAATTAATTAATTGATTACATCTGTGACAAATCAAGTTACCGTCTCGGATTCAGCAAGGCGGCAATGGAGGACCCGGCACCCAGGACTATGCGCTGCAATGGTGATATCTCAATGCGCTCCTTGAGATACTGCCGCTCGAAGGTATCCAGTGGCCCCGTCTCGGGCGTCTCTGTGGCCACCGCCTGACTTCTGACCTGGCCAAAAGAGAAACCCCGTCGCAGGGCCAGCGGCTGTGTCAGTTGCCAGCAGCGCTGCATCGTGATCTGTGGAGGCAGAGCGGAGGGATTGGGTAGGTGCACCCGGCGACCTTATCAGCACGATCATCATCAACTTTATCATCATCATCATCATGTCTATTGCGGCACATAAACATGACCCTGACTACCTGTCTTCGGTTAAAGCTTGTCGTACGTGCCCACTTTCAATAGCAGCCGAGAATATGAGCAAACAATTTGTCCATAATGTGGCTATGGGCCTGAAGCTGACTAACAATTTACCTCTCCTCGCAGTCCCAGCAGTTAAGCCGGAGGAAACCTGTTTCGGCTTCCTCATTACTTGGCCCCCACTCCGATCCCCGAACACATCAATACTTCTTCAGCTGCTGCTGGGGTCTCAAAATAAGTCCCAAACAAAGTGCTGCAGGGGGCACTGGCACCTCTACCTCTTTCTCGGATTTTCTGCTCAATTTCAATGTCGTCATTGCTGTGTCTCGTCTCTAGGGACAAATGGGTAGTCACTGTCAGCGAAAAAGTAGGAAGGTTAAATTTAGAAGCTTCGCGCCACCCAGAACGTTATGTCAGGGTTTAAATAGCCAAGAGCGTTATGGGCAATTTATTATTTGGCAGCCTACTTCGAAGAAAATAGATTTCATCTCATTTAAAGATTATATTCTGTTTAAATTTATCACATCAAGTAGGAGAATCAATTCATAAATGGAATATCATTGTCAACGTTTATGTTTTAGTGATTTTTAATCAAAAACTTTTTATCTGGGAATAAACAAAGGAAACGGAAAATAACTGCCAACATAAAACACTCAATACGTGTTCTAATCAGCATTATAATACACCATTATCACTCCCTTTTAGCGACTTTTGACTGATAATTTAAAGAAAACTCCGATACAGAGTATCCAGTAATCGGTCGACACCCCTAATCAAGTTTCCACACCATGGTGTTGAGTGATGACGCCGCTGGATTGCCCAGCACTGCAGTACTTTATTTTGTGTGGAATTTTCAAGGTCCCAATGTGTGTTTACCCGGAGTCCGGAGAGATAAACACACCTCGGCTAGGCGCAAGTAATTGGAAAGATCCAACAGTCCATCGTAGCGGCGATTACTCTTTTCTTCAACACAAAAAGTATAATTAGAGGAGTACATGTGGCGCATTATTTCTTAATTAGCAAGGGCCGAGTTGTCGGACCTTATCGCCGGGAGCAATCTTATCGTTGACCCAAAAGTGGAACAAAAAACAGCACATAATCGGTTATCTCGTCTATTTCGTCCCAAGGAGGAGCTGGATGTCTGTGTATTTCTATTACTTATGACACTTTCGATGCAGGAAACAGTTGCATGCGGACAATATACAAAGCGATTAAAATTACATATTTGCTAAATTGCACACTTATAGATACTTATGTACAGAGACGACGCGCTGTGGGTGCCTGTGTGCCTATAGGAAATCGAATACGCACGGAATACGGTGTACGGAATACTCTAAACATATCGTATGGCTTTGGCTTGTGCTTGAGCTAAGACAGTGCGAAGCTAGACATTCTCGCCGCGAGTGCTGCTGGGCAAGTGGGCCTGCTTATCGGGCGCCCGCTTCCGCCGGAAGGTGACGTATGTGTAGAGCAGACTAGCCAGCACGCTGATGTTGATCCCGATGCAGTTAAGCCACGAGAAGACGTAGTCGCCGCCGATGAACATCCCCAGATACGTCACGCATATGTTCTTTAGGCAACCCACAATGGTGGTAGTCAGCGCAGAGTTGAACTGCGTGCACAGGATGGTGCTGTATGACAAGATGAAACCCATCACGCAGCTGAGCAGGAACTGAAGCACGAACACGGGGTCGTTCCACTGCGAGTAGTTCAGCGCCTGCTCCAGATCCCCGCTGACGTAGTTCAGGAGCAGTGCCGGCAGGAACATAAACAGCGAGTTGTAGTACATCAGGCCGTACTTCCCGATCTCAGAGGTATCCAGCTTCTTTTTCACATACACCCCGTTCGAGGCCGTCATCGCATTGGTGATCATCACGTAGATGTAGCCGCGCATGTTGAACGACAAGTCGTCGGAGGCGGCCAAAAGGGCGCCGCCGATCATGGCGTACACGCTGACCTGGACCGCCGTCGATGGACGCAGACCAAGTATCTTCAGCTCCAGCAGCATGGTCATCAGGATGGAGAACCGCCGCAGGGCCGCAAACATGGGCAGACTCAGCGACTGGGTGCCGCCCAGGCCGAATATCATGTTGCCCAGGAAGATGAGCGGCAGCGGGAAGATCTTGGCGAAGGTATTCCGTTGCAGCGGCGGGTAGGAGACAAGCTTCAGCCGCTTGCCCATGTCCAGCACCACGATGCTGGCGGTGAGCTGGCCCAGGCTGAGGAACAGGAACGAGGGAAAGTGATACGAGGTGAGCACCGTCTTGTTCACCACCGTGATCATGAACGAGGAGATGCCGTAGAAGAGGGCGCTGCCAATCTTCTTAACAAACACAGCCGAATCCTCGCGCTCCCGGTGGCTCAATTCCTTGGATCCGGAGCCGTTTAGCTGCGCCCCGCCACCGGCTAACGCGGCTTCCGGCTCGTCGTCATCGCGCTGACTACCGTCCAGCAGCGGCTGCAGGTCGAGCGTTGTGCTGCCGCCCCGCGAGACACTCATTGTAATTGCTGCGGCGTCTTGAACTTTGATTTACTATGCTCTTTCGTCACTGGCTATCGGCTCGGCCGGGGCCGCTTCGCACATTGGGACACTCTTTTCGGGGCCGCACTGGGGGCGGGGAATTGGCTTTTCCCACGGCACATCAACGAGAACTCGCCTAACGACAGCAATTGCTATTTTTACCGACGCGCCGCTGACATATTCTCCGCAAAACTTTGAGACTTGAACATATGCTTAGCAGTGTGACCGTTTAACGCGGAGACGCAAATCCCTGGCCCGCGGAATTTAGTGCGTAAGAAAAATACTAATACTGTTGTCAGCTATAATGTTAACATTATGTTAAAAATAAATGCACATATTTTGCAAACTACACTTAATCTAACTATCCTTTATTACTGCTAATTTGATCTACTAAGTTAATCCAGCTTACTATATTCCTTTATTAACCTTTCAGAAAGCACCGGCATCAATAACATAAGCCTGCGTAACAGCCACAGCCCGTTAACGTTTTGCTTACCATTTTTGTATGCTGCGTTGGGCAATTAATACACTTCCCAAGTTGCTTCAGGCAACTGTTCACTGTTCTCTTGAAATAAATAAAGAATATTATTAACTTTATTAAATTTTGAGCAAAAAGGCACTAGACAACTTGTCACAACCGAGACGGCACAAACAGCTGTTCTGTCAAGATAAACACAAACAGTGTTAGCTGTTACCAGCGCTGTTAATGGTGTTATGACACTGCCTAAGTGCAAGCAAGATGACTTTTAATAAAAATGCGTATTCATTGGGAAAATCAATGGACTTACAAAAAACCAGATGCTAAATTAGAGAGATAGCAAATATACTTCTCTAGTGAACAAACATTTTAATAAATTAATTAAGGTCTCATTAGAGTCGAGTTGTCAAAATGTCCTCACAGTACGAATTTATTTTTGCTGGTTTCTTGCAATTATTTTCTAATTCTAAAGTAAAAGAAATCTTGAAGTTACAAAAAATTATGTTTTCGGAGGCGAAGTTCTCGCTCTGCAAAATTTAGAGTTGTTTCTAGTGGTGTTATTTTCCAAATTTGTACGCATTAGAAGGTTATAAAATAAATGTAAGGGATCAACACACATAAATGCAGGAATACTTCCGCGAGGACTCCAAAAAAGCATTGTTATATGCTGAAAGTTGGGATCTTTGTTATTGTTCACCGTTTTATATCGGTCTGACCATAGCCGCCATAAATAAAATCAAAGCTGAACAAGTATCATATCGCCATAATTAGCTGCTCTGTCGAGACAAACACAAACACTGTTACAAGTTAACAGCGCTGTTAAACTGGAAAATTTTGTTTAGTTTTTCATTTTACGAAAAATTGCTAATAAAATGAGCAGCAAAGCCAAAAAGCCAGGGAAGGGTGACCAAATACCCAAGCCCATTAGCATAAAGAAGGAAAAGATGGAGGAGGATCGGACGCTGCATCCAATTTCGCACTATATCGACGACCGTCTGGAGCTGGTGAAGCAGATTTTCGGCACACTCAAGCCCAAGACAATCGTGAATCTGGCGCCGGAGTTCCTAAAAGTGAGTTTAAGTTGTGTATTGAGCGATTATATTAATTGAACCGTCCACAGAAAACCCCCCTGGACGAGATCGAAGCGCTGTGCCTGGAGGAGCTGCTCTGCTTGTCCACCAAGCGCCTTAAATCCATCATAGAGGCCACCCGATGTCCCACGGACACCGAGAGCTCCGAGGATTCCGATGTGGAGCACAAGGAGGGTATGTGGCAGGCCGACTTAATCCTGCAAGACCATATCATACTTAGATTGCTCTTCTAGAACACATATCCCTGGAGGAGATCTCATCCGACAGCGACATTGGCGGCCAGGAATCTCGAAAAAGTAAGTGGCTTTTCTACATTTAATTTAGATCTTTTGAGCGCTGAATCTGCACAACGGCACGCCGGAAAGTTAGGTGCCGTATTTGAACTTCTCGCAGGCGAGGAGCGGGGCCACGTAGAAGGCTCGCAGGATGCACACGTCATCGCCAATCCCCAAGGACACGTTCTCTTCGTCCTCCTTGCCCACCTCTAGTGTGACCACAAAGTCCCCGACCTCCAGGCAGCCTTTCTTCCGCATGTAGTCCACACCAAACTCAATCGGGTTGTAGTTGCACTCGTTGAGTTCCTTGGTGTACAGAACTGGGTGCATATTTCGGCGCAGGTGGAGGGCGCGGGACAACTGCACCTTACAGGCAATTATGTCATCGTCGTCGGTGTCCTCCAGCGGCAGCATCACGTACACCGGGCAGTAGATCTCGGAGCGGGACAGGGCCACGCTGGCGGTCTCGCATTTGGTGAACAGAAAGATGGCCTGGCACTCGATCGAGCTTATGGTGCGAATGATAAAGTTGACTATTGCGTGGTACGAGGTGAGGATGTTCTTCAGCACCATCTGGTTCTGGACGACCCCGATGCGATAATCCTTGACGGGCATCAGCTTCTTGACAATCAGCGGATACTTGTTACACCACGGACTCTTCTGGATGTGTATGGCGTCGATCTTCCAGAGGAACTCGTGCAGCTCGAATCGCTTAAAGTCACTACAGCGCTCCAGCGGCACAGTACCGATCACCGGCTTCTTCTGGCACTGCGAAATGGGCAGCACGTCTTCCATGATGTAGTTGTAGACGCAGCAGCTGACGCAGAACATGTCCGGTATCCAAATGTAGTCTACCAGCTTGATGATGCCTAGCAGGTCCAGCATGTTGCTACGCACGTACTCGAAGTCTATCATGCCGATCAGCTTTAGATTCAAGCCAGCGTTTATGCTCTGTCGCACCGCACGCAGGAAGTTTTTGCAACGGATCTTGGGCAGCACCACGTAGTTGGCGTTCATCGCTACTGCCATCTCCAGGTCCTTCTGGAAGAGATCCGGATAGACCTCCGGATCCAGGGCGTGGCACTGACGGGGCAGCTCTATGAAGTCGTAGGAGGCCAGCAGACCGGCATCGATGATCATCACGGCCAGAGCCTCGCGCAGAGTCTTCACCACTCGACCCCTTACCTCGCGTCCAATCATCAGGATGTCGCCGAGGCGAACCGAGGAAAGATAGGCCTGCAGATTGATCACATACACGATCTCCTTGAAACCCTTGTAGCGGTAGGATTCGTCAGTGGTGAGAGTGACCACCGATCCGCGGGCCAGCATCACGGTGCAGTTGTTCCTCAGCCTACCGACGCGGCAGCACTCGCCGTTGATCTCCAGCGCCAGGCCGGTGATCAGGCGGAGCTCCCTCTCCGCTGTATGAGCAGCAATGGCCACGTTCAGTGTGTCTATAATGGCCTGCAGTTCATCCGGCTTGTTCGCCACTGTATCGATGTGGAAGGTGTAGGTGCCATTCTCCAGCATGCGACGCAGCTCGTCGTGGGTGGTCTCCGTCACTAGCTTAGCCACCAGGCCCAAATTGTAGTAACGCCTTCGGCGTCGGCGCCTCGCATGCTTCTCGTGAGCCTCGCAGGCCGCCTTGAAGTCCCGCAATCGCTGTTCCAGGTCGTGCTGCCCATTGAGCCTCACCTTGAACTTGTCCAGGCGGTTCTCGTCCTCCTGTGGCTCCTGCTCTTCCTCCCCATCCAAGCTCTGGCTGTCTAGGTGCAGCGAGGGAGCCGTCTGCTGTTCCAGCGCCATTCTGACGTGCAGTTAATTTGAATTACACTTTACCTACAATTTGTGATCTCTAATTATCTTGTCTGAATTCCAGCCAAGAAGAAGCCCAGAGCCAAAAGGACGAGCAACGGGAACGAAAACAAGGAGTGTAAGTAGAGTGTACTTTACAAAAACACAAAAATATTACTAGACTGACCGAATCAGTTTATTTCGTAAGAATGACCTTTCGGTGCGAAACACCTATTCTATAAAAATCGTGGCTTACTGGGGTTCGTTTCGATCACTTCTCCACAGCGGGCCAGATGAGCGTGCTGGAGTTGCTGGAGCTGCAGGCACGTGCACGGGCCATTCGCTCCCAGCTAGCCATGGAACCCATTACCAAGATCGAGGTCAGGTCGGACGACGATGACGACGACGACGAAAGGCCAGCAAAGCCGGTTCAGCGAAGGACGAAAGAGAAGCGCACCGCCAAAACAACAGAAGCAGGAAAGCGCAGCTCCCTGGAAAACAGCAAAGCGGCCAATAAGGATCAAGATCAAGATGCGGAAAGCAGCAGCAAGGAGCAACCAGCTCCGCGCAAGATCAAACTCAGGCGGACCTATCGGCAAACCAGAGAGTCGCCTGAGAAGGAGAATCTCGTTAAAGTTTCTGCCCCAGCCCCGACTTCATCTGCTGCTCCAATAGAAAATAAGCCTCGCTCCAAGTCGCGTTCTGCCTCGCCAGATGTGATAACCATACAAACGGAGCCGGAAACGCTGCTAATTAGCGACAGCACCGACGATGAAGCCACAAACCACAAGCCCAAGTCAGCACCTGAGCCCGAGCCCCAACCCGTGCTGGAGCCACCAGCTCCAGTTGTAGAGAGCGAGCCAGAGGAGGGAGAAGTGCGTGACGAACCCGAGGAACCAGCACAGGCTGTTGAGCCAGCCAAAACAGAAGACCCAGCAAAGACAGAAGATACAGCGAAGGCAACAGACCCATCCAAGGCAGAAGATCAAGCAAAGAGCAATGAGTTGGAAAACTCAGAAGAGCCACAGAAATCGGAAGAGCAAGAAAAGCCAGCGGAGAAAGAACCGTCTAAGGAGCATGCTCCCTCTCAGGAACCAAATCCAGCAGCAGAAGCAAAGGAATCCGAGGCTGTTCCTGAGCCAGTTAATATAGATGATGAGGATCAAAACGACGATGTCATCTCCATTGGCGGCGACCTGGAAATGATTGAGGAAATGACCAAGGAAGACGAGCCCAAAGTGTGCGTCAAAAGCGAGAAAAAAGATAAGGCCTCCGAGGAACACGAGGAACTAGACAACGATGTTATCTCCCTGGACACCAGCGAGGATGAGCGTGATAAACTGCAGCAACCCGACTCCGAGGTAATCCGATATAATCATATCATTCTAATAGCTAGCTTAATCTCCTGGAATATCATTTCAGTCTTGGCGCACACGATACCTGAAGAGTTCCAAGGTCAGCCAGGTGCTAGCTGCCTCGCGGCTGGGGAAACGCGTGCGCGACAAAATCAAGAAATCGAAGCGCAGCAAAGATGCCGCCAGCGACGACCAGGCCAAGGCTGAGAAGCAGGCAGCACCGTTCACATCCAAGCATGAGGACGGATCCATGGAGCAATACCAAGAGCTGCTGCAGCACCGTCAGCGGAAGACTTCAAATAGTAGCAAGGGAGGGGATAAGTAAATCCACACGCCGAGGACGATTGGAATTTTATTTTATTGAAAAATACTCCGACGCAGAGTTCTGGTTTATATGGCATATAAAAAGGAGAATAATTGTCCGCTGTCCTCGGTGGGGAGCTCGGGAAACGTATAAAAAATTTGAATATATCGTGCTAAGCGCATATTTGATTTCTCATTCGTCTTATAGTAATATACTTTCCAAGAGAGAGACGTTTCGCTGCTCTATCAATTAGTAAAATATAATTTGTATTTTCGATTTTATATATATATATATTTTTTTAATATTTACATATATTTATTTAGAGATTACAAAGTCGAGCAAATATAAATACATCTAACATTACATTTAATATAACTCTGAAAATAAAAAAGTTTTTAAGAAAAGAATGACCTTTAAAAATATTTTAATTATTTAAAATCTAAAAACAAATACCTGAATTTGCAAACCAATACGTGTTAAACAACCTATATTATAAAGTGATTTTAAAAACCGTTTCGATCTCCGAAAACTCCCACATGCTTTACAAGAGTATTATCAGCGTCGACTTGCCGTGTAAAAACTTCCCTTCTCGTTTTTAGTTTTGTTGTTTTGTAATTTAAAGGAAAATGCGAAAACTATGCCCTCTTATTTCCGCTGCGTGCTCCATTTTTGGTGGGGAGCCACCGTTTACGGAGGAGGGTTGGCAGTTAAACGAGTCGCACGCAGGTTACGCCTTTGCATTGATATTGTTTGCCATAAACTCTAGCTAAAAAATCATTAACCGAAAAATTTGAATGAATGGGTTTAACCTAGTTGGGCACCCCTTTCCAAAACAGCGACCAGGAAGCGGGATTGATACCGGCACCTCCTGCCCATTTTGTCAACGACTTTACTGGATTCCTAATCATGCGGTTACAGAACATGTCCACACTCGACTCCACTCCAACCACTTGGCTTCCTCCTCCTGTCCACTCCACTCCACCAGTTCGTTTAGCCACCCCGGGTTTCGGTCTGGTCACTGGACTATATCTCAATTATGCTGCAGGAGGGGCGGAGGTGGCGGCGGCTGAAGCGTGTTGCACCATAAACGATGATTGTTTTATCAGAGACTCGCTTGTGTTGATAAACTGTTTTAGCAGCAGCAGCAACAAACGCTCCGGAAAACGATTCTCTGAGCAACGCTTCAACTTTTTTTTAGACTTATCCAATACGCATGTCCTGTGAGCTGAGGGTAGGATTATGGCCCGTGTGTGTGTGTTTACTGCGAATCCATCAAGTGGGCGCACTGCATACATATAAATATGTGGCATGTGTATCAAGTAATTTACTTAAGTATTTATCAACTTGTATTAATTAATTTTAAACAATTTAAAATATCTAAAAAGTAGGCAACACTTCAATTTGAACCCCTCGTTGGGCGCCAAATTTAGTTAGTTGCACAGAAGAAGCTAGCACATGTTTCTGCTTGCACCACCATCCCCTCTCTTCATATTTCTCTCTTTACTTTCTTTTTTTTGCTCCGCCGAACGCCCCCGCGGCGAGAAGTAAACAAAATAGCAACAGAGCGTTGCCCGCCAAAGGTTGGGGGTGGCTCTGGGGGTGGTTTCTCTCGGACTCTCCGGCTCTCTTTCTCGCTTCGGCTAGTGCCAGTGCCTGTGTGTGGGTGTCGTCTGCATCCTTTGGCGGCAGGCTGGCATTTGGGAAAACGGAAAAGCCGAGTCAGTCTACAGAAAACGCGTACGTGGTGCAGAAGTAGCCGCGGGTGGCTACCACAGCGTCGTTTTGGACTTGTCGGCATGATAAAATAAGTGTAACGCCCTGTACAAGTTCTGTAAGTTTTCAGCAACTAACAAAAAATAAAGAAATTCAAAAGAAATCCAAATGAGAAGAAGCAAATGAAAGCCAAACAAATACCAAATAAGAATCTGCCGATTTCAGTGTCCAAAGTGTTCGAAATGAGTGACAAAACCGAAGGATTTCTAAGCCAATAACAATCAAAAAGTGGTGGCAAAACACAATCACAATTGAAACACGGATAACCAAGCTTATTTTGTATTTTTCTAAGCAGAAACGCGTTGCTAAAAGTAACCCAATAAAGTGCTTTAATCGTTAACCAAACTAATTAAGTAATAAATAATTGCAACATTTTGATACTAGCCCAAGACATGCCTTATCCAAGGATTTTCCGTTCGAAGCGCGTTTATTTTCGCAAAAGTTTACACTTAGGATTAAAGATGCTCTCTCTGGCCAGAGACATTGTGAGTCCCAGCAACCAAAAACTACAACCCAAGTTAATGCAAATATATACCTGGATTATTGAACTAATGCCGCTTGCATTGGCCACTTGCGAAAAAATAAACAAAATTAATATTGGCTGGAAAAAAGAAAATGTTAAAATTTATTAAAAATTGGCAAATTCATAAGAGTGTGTTGCTTAATGCTTTCGAATGCTTCAAAACTCCTCTTTAGACTTCATGCAGTCAACGTTATTTTCCAGCTCTATAATATACAATAATAAATAAAAAGGATTTTATTAGAAAAGAGCTTTGGAATTTAATCGATTGCATTTTTTATTCATAAATGTACCCATTGAGTCGCTTTCCCCTTACACATTACCCATCGTATGCATGTATGTATTTAAATATTATTATAATAAAACTAGTATTGATTTTACATAAAATAATTAACATATTAAAGTTTAAGTTTAAGATATTTCAGAGATTAAGTTTGGAAATAAAATATTTTAATATTTTCCTTAAAATTTTTGTCTTGAGTTTTTTAAGGTAATAAAAATTACTATAGTAATTATAGGGCTGTATGAAAACTAATGAATTCTCGAACTTAGGTTCTTCTAAAAAAAATATTTTCTTGCTTTTTACATTTAAAATTATAATTTTAAAACCTTTGAAATGATTTAAACTTACGCGAAAGCTTTCCCAGAAAAGTATGCTATATTTACTGCAAATTTCTTAGCTATCTTACCCCACACATACACCATAAACGGAATATTTTTTGGTTTTGGAAGGCCCGAGTCCTATCTTTTCGAATGCCATGACGCACTGCCAGAGACAGTGACGAACGAAGTTGGTAAATTTAATTGGAATAATAAATGGTGCTCACACTCTCCTTTTTTATGAAACAAAAATGCACAATGCCTCTGATATAGAGATGTCATAAAGTTTTATTAATAATGAAAATTGTACTAAAAACGCGGCCAGCCGGAATGGGGCAATTTATTAAAAAGTCTCATTAGCTCTCGCACACACTCGCACTTCACACAAAAAGTCGCGGGTTTTATCGCACATCGAGCATACGCCACGAGGTCCCCTTACGGGTGCTAATAACGTAAAAGCAAGAACAACAAAAATAATAATAATAATAATATGCCCGGGCCGGTCCGGGATTGCGATAAAGTAAAATTTTCGATATGGACATGATTAAAGCGACGGACTGCCCCATCAACCGACTGACTGAGCACCACCACCCACTTTTTATGACGGGGCGGCGGCAATAACTGTGCCGTCGGAGATTAAGTATTTTTAATGCGACTGCGACTGACAATAAAAATATAAAAATTTCAACGATAACGTGAAGGCAACGTCAGCAGGCCAAATCAATTTCAATATATGAAGAAGATATACCCGGGGAGATACTACACATATATCTATTGATATGCGTTTTGCATGTGTACATATGTACATGTATTGTAAATATCCAGCCGACTGATATTAAGTCACTTGCCATGTGCTCCTCCGGCAATATTTATTCGCTGAAAATCAATAAATTCTACACAGACACACACACCGAGCACTTTTTTTTTCTCATTTTCTCTTTGCGCTGGCGCTGCGGCTCATTATTAATATAAGTATATACATTGTATACATCTGTGTATATATAATTTTTTTACATTTCGATATTTCGCAGAGGGCCTGTGTGGGGCGGAAAGGGGGTATTGGTCGGCTTAAGTGTTTTTCTATTACGCCTTTTACCCGAATTCCAGCCAAATACACACGAACATCCGAGTGCCACCGCCACCCAACTCCCCCAATATTATATTTGCTTTTAAATATTTTGATATACAGCCCACACACACACACACATACTGCCGTTGAAGCTCACACTTATACACACACACACACATGCGCTGAGTTGGCAGGCATTTTCTCATAAAAATGTTTTTACACTAAAAAAAATTATCTTTAGGGAAGAAAGTTGGTTTTATATTTGTTAATTTCAAAAACTATTTAATCCTAGAATAATAAATAGTTGGTATAAATATGTATGTATATAAATTAAGGCATTTGATATTTAGGAAACACAAAAATTAGATAATGAATTAAATTTATAATCGTTAAAACTGGAATCTTGAAAAGTGGGTTCTATTTTCAGGTTTTAAGATCAGTTTTTTCCATTTAAGAAGGTTTCTTTATAATCTATTACCTTTAATCAATCTAATAGAAAGTTTATTAATTTATTGGCTTTCTTCAAATGCACTATGGTCCAGAATCCGTTTTTTTTGGCATAAAGTCGATTTTTTTATGTTAATATATCGTTGTTTTCTTATTTTAATCTTAAAGTAAATTCATCATACGTTATAAAAATGTTAACTAAAAGCTTTAAATGTGCCACCAAAGCCTATTGAGAGCTTTTAAAAATGCGATTGCGATCAGCTCATTTCCGAATAGAAATTCGCGCCAAAATATTTAGTTACTTTATGTTGTGTCAGACGTGTTATTTTGGTTCAAAAAAATCAACTAAAATATGGAAAATAATCTTCAAGGTATGCACTACTTAATGTATATTGTAATTTTTTGTGTAGTTCTACGTATTTAGTGTTGTGTAATGTCAAATTTATGTGTATGTTTTTAGAAAACTATCATGCGTTCTCCATGTTTCGTGGAGTATAACTAATAAGCTTCTCCATGCTGACAGCAACTAATTGGTCCAGATTGTACTCCTGGATGTTGTCTTTAACCACAAACAAAAAACTCATCCCCGTTCGTCCCCCTTTTCTAATATTTTGGTAATATACATAGTTTATTCACAGCGAACTTTTTAAATTATGGAGCAGCAACAATCGAAAAATTCAATCTGTATCGAAGTGACTATGCACCAAAATTAATAAAGACACTGTGAAATCCAAGAAAATGAAGGAAATAGATTAAAAATGCAGTAATTTTTATAGTGATATTCATAAATATCTTCCCAAATGTAAATACGTTCTTGAACGGTTAATTTCTTCCAATAATTCTAATTATAAATTCGGAAAAATATCTCTTTTTTTTTTTAACAACTTTTTCATTATATATGCGTTAATTATGTATATA